TTCCCTAAAAATTAATCAAGGTTTACATGCTATTAAACTAGAGTTTACCTTGAGCACACTAAAGAATAGCGACCGCAGATTTTCTCGTCAGAGCTAATAGGATTAATGGGCTTAGGTCCAAGTGAGTGGCCCATATCAAGATATTACTAAGTTTGTTATCTCTTTTTGGGCCTAAAACATTCTCTTTTTTCTTGGACTAACCCAAAATAGTTTCTCTCTTATATTTCTGTTGAAGTTTGGCATATATTTGCCTTTTTCCTTTTGGAATTTTACTTACTATGGTACTATATATTACATTCAAATAACCATATGTTCTTTTTACTCATGGTACTATATATTACATTCAAATAGCAACATATTCGTTTTACTCATCAAAATAATGTTTTTACAACAAACTAGATTGTCAAAAAGAGATACACTTGTAATTATCTTAAATTCATGGTTCAAGCTCATGACACATATTATCTGCTTTGGCCCAACAAAACTCACATATTTGTCCCTTGTGTATGCGGTATGTGTTCATTGACCCCAAAAGCGTACGTTCATGTTATGTACACTTATTTTGTGCCTTATAAAACTCTTTACTTTCTTCTCCGATTTCATTGAAGGACTCATCGAAGGTATCATGTTCACCCCAACCTTTTTAGAAGCTTGCCAGTCCTTCCCTCTGACTCACCCTCATTAGTCATCGATTTGTCCTCCATCATAAGCATCATACACTTCACATTTTTAGAAGCTTGTCAGTCCTTTTCTCTGACTCACCCTCATTAGTCGTCGATTTGTCCTCCATCATAGGCATCATACACTTCACTCATGGACTTAACGTCCTTGCTGAGATTTACTCCACTTCTGACACCATATTTGTCACGGTCGTCCAAGATAACACTATCAACCAAAAAAGGAGCGTGTGGATATGAAAGGTTAATGAATCAAAAAATAGAAAAAAACAGATATTGACATGGCACATCATGTTATGTCACAATTATAATTAGCAAAATTTGTAAGAGGTGATCAAATATGGATTCCGACATGATCCAAGAACAAAGCACAAAAAGAAAAAAAAAATTGAACCACAACATGTGCTTACCTTTTATTTATGTCTAGTGCCTATCTTTTAAATATGTCAACTCTTTTGTCTTCTATCTATTTCTCTATTTCTAACATTATATTTGATGTGAGGTAAAATAACCTGTTTATTATGCTGCTTCATTATATTGTTATTTCTAAATAATATATATATATAAGTACTCCGTCTGTCTTAATTCAATTGTTCTGTTCTAATTTGACCTAGAGTTTAACAAAGTAATTTTTTTTTTGAATCTTACGATTTTAAATATGTCATATAAAAAGTTATAATTAAAGAATTGTCACCCGACCAATTTATGTTAAGTATATACACTTACCTCCAGTTATTTTATTTTTTAAAAATTAACTATCAAGTGTTCAATATTTAAATGTTCGATTAATTTAAATTCATGCAGAATAAATCCACTAAGGAGGGTAAACACTTAATTCCCACATGACATGTTTTTCATTTTCAGTACTCGACCTCTGATTTAGTTATCGTTTGATAATAGATTTTGAACATTTATCTTTTATTATCCGTTTAATCATGAAATTTGATCTTCAAATATTTTCAAGTTCTCACAGACGGAGTTAAACAAGATTTTGGGTTTTAGCGACTTCCACTCACAAATTTCAGATTTTTTCCAAGTAAAACGCATGTTCTAACACAACTTCAAATTTCATAACAACTTCTAAAATACAATTTGAAAATTTCAACATCAAAATTTATGACCAAACAGTGACATAGATAATCACCTAGACATTTTGGTTGATTTGGCATACCTCTACCTGTAAGTAGAATTGTCAAAAAGGGTCAGCCCAAGCCTCAGGGGCCAAGAAATTTGATGGGCTAGGGTGGACCGACCCTTCATTTGGAAGGGCCTGAAAATGTTCAACCCAAGGCCTCGAGATGGGGCGGGCCAACCCTTCTTTTTCTCTTATTTTCATCTTTTATTTTCAAACTTAAAATTCTATAACATCAAGAAAATGAGAAGATTTTCAAATCAAATGTACCAAACAATTGTGTTGTTTCAATATAACACTAGCAAAAACTCTAGTGTGATTAGCATGTATCTAGGATACTAGATACGCGAGATACATGAATTTGGTGTGATACATCCCAGATACACGAGCGAGATAAGAGAGTGACGAGCGATATGAGAGGGAGGCGAGGGTGTGGAATTTGTCTATGTATCCTAGATACATGTGAATCCACTTGGATAGAGTGTATCTAGAACAAATTACACATATTGAGTCCATGTATCCTGAGATATATGTATCTGGACGCACCAAAATCTGGAAAAATTCGTAATATTACAACAAATTGTGCATCTAAGTAATTAACTCATACACTAGTAGATTTCTGTAAGTTACCCTTAAATAAATAGTTCTAGCCCATGAACCGATCCCAACCCGACCTCAATCAAGCCTCAAGGGCCAATGGTTTATAAGAGCGGGGCTTATAAGCCCTAGTTTTAAATGGGCTTGAAAGTTTTTATCTCAACCATAGCCCAATCGCGAGTTGGGTTGAACCAACCCCATGGGCTAAACCCATTTTGAAGGCTCTACTTGTAGGGATGACAATTGGAGCAGGGTGAGACATGATACTTGGTTAGTTGGTTTACTAGTGAAGTTTACTAAATATTCCAACCATAGTGTCAAAAACTAATTCATATTTTTTTTGTAATTTGGATGATTTTAAAGTAATTAAAGAGAATTAATTTAGTGATCCTTTTTGTTTCCAAGACCAAATTATAATCCTCCTATCTTGTCAACTTATATTATGAATGAAAGTTGTGAAAAATAAAAAAAGGTGAAGGACATTAGTGGAGAAGCCAGGCTATAAAGCAACTCATAAAATCAATTTTTTTTTCCCTTTTTTATTTGTTGCTTTCCCATACAACATGCAGTCTCTTCTTTGTCCAAAAAATAATAAAGTAAATAAAACTAATTACAAAATGTATTTTGTTTCTATTTGCTAGTGGTTAACCAACTCAGGACCCATATATTCGACAAAAAGTTCACTCTGATGTGTTCATTTATAAATTATTTATTTATTATAGTTTAAATCTTGCACATCATCATATATTGTCTATATATTTATAGACCAAAAAAACATGAAATTTGATAGGCTTAAAAGATATATTAGTAATTATTACAACATATGTAAAAATTATTTAGATGTATATTAATTAAACTATTTATTATTCGACAGAACATGATGCAACTTCATATTATCGAGGACACGACTCTAGATAGAAAGAAGTGGAGGTCGTGTATTAGTGTAGACGGCTAGTAGGGAGTGAAGGGGTATATGTCTTGTCGTGCGCAGGTTTAGACTTGTCAGTGTTTTGTCGTGTATTAGTCATACCCTTATAGTTTGTCATATAACATGTATTATGTTTTGATTATCACACTATTTTGATGCTGTTATTGTTTCTTCTTGTAGGCTTTATATTGTCTTTCTTATTATTGACTATGTTTTTTTTTCATTGTTTCTTCTCCTTTTACTTGGATTTGATGCACTTGATGAGTCGAGAGTCTTTCATGAACAGTCTATATACCTTCTTGAGGTAGTGATAAAATCTGCATACACTCTACCTTCACACACCCTATAGTGAAATTCCGCTGAATATATTATCAGTAATATATATAGTAAGAAATATGTAGAAGAGTAGCAGTTGAACAGTTGTAAATTATAATATTATATTATATTATTTATAATATTTTAAGGACTCAATCATTAAAAGGTCCGGGAAATTTGGGTTGTTATGGCTGTACGGTATTTTCCATTTTTTTCCCTTTCAAAATATAATAAATATAATTGGCACTATTTATTATAAGTGCGATCCAACTAAAAAGGGAATTTAATTCATATGGAAAAGTTTGAAAAAAGTCATAATGATGAAAAGAATAAAAAGATCTAATTTTTCTTGACTACCTGCTATTTTTTTTTGGGCATTGCGAAGGTGGAAAAATGGTATTGTATAATACAATCATATTTAGAAGAAATTAAGGCGTATATTCATAACTCATTATTACCGGACAATATATCAATTATTCATAAATTTTATGTGGGAAAAATAATTTTTATTTTTCATCTTTGGAATTCTCCTTTTGGTCTGCCTAACCTTATCATGTAGGTTCCCTATGAATTGGACGATTTTATTTGGCTAAATATCTAGCAATAAACTTCATGTTTGTTCATTTCAACAAATTTGAACTCTATATCATCAATTCTATTTTAAAATAAGTTTATTTATGTGATATACACTTTTTTAGAAATTTCTATAAAGATGTTCAATATTTAATATATACGTATCGATTTTTTATTTAAAACTTATTATGCTATAATTTTTTTTATTTAAAGTGTTCAACTGACTATCTTTTACCACATATGGCTACGCAACTACCTCCAAGGTACGTTAGCAACAATTGATTCATTATTTATCTACTACTATAAATTTTGTGCATCGTCAGTATACATAACTTGTAAACTACTAGGCAATTTCTAAGGTAACACAATGTTTAATCCTAGTCACATCAAAAAAAACATTTCACATCATGTATGAATGTTTTCCAATAAAAAGGCTATTATTACTCACCTTATAAGACTAGGAATTAGGATAATATGCCTTTGGACAATTTTTATAGGTTTTTGAACATGTGCATGATTTTAGCCTAGACAAAAACAAGACAACAACTATTTCATTACAACCCTCACCAACAAAAAGAGATAATAAAGTAACATTATTAATATCCACGTCACAACAGTTCTTAGATTCCATTGCCCCCTTTTATGTTTTTTTTTTAAAAAAATAAAAAAATAATTAATATTTTTTTGAATAAATAATTTTATAACAAATATTCCTTCAAAACTTCTCTATATAAACTACTACCATAGTCCAAACTAATTCGTTGAGCCTTCGATTTTTTCCCCCTAATATAATCACCAATAATGATCACCTCATACCCCTCCGCGGCCACCGCCACCATCACCACCGTTGATTGCGAGAAACAAGTCCGTTCGTGGCGACTCCTCCGTTCTCTAGTGGAGTTACTCATCCCTAGTTGTTACTGTACGTTTGTTGAACCTACAAAACTTGTCCCGAGTAAAAAACCTGTTTCATCTTTCAACTATCATAGACCATCATTTACCTCGAATACAACAAATATTACGGGTACCATTTTTGGGTATCGTAAAGGAAAAGTCAATTTTTGTATCCAAACAAACCCTAATTCCTCTACCCCGCTTCTTCTCCTTGAACTCGCGGTTTCTACTTCTACCCTAGCACGTGAAATGCGTGGAGGGCTACTAAGAATCGCACTTGAAAGTTCCAATAACGGAGGTGGAAGTGGAAATAATGATAATTCTTCCCTTCTGTCCATGTCTGTATGGACGATGTATTGTAATGGAAAAAAAGTAGGGTTCGCGGTTAAAAAAAAACCTACAAAATCCGATTTACAAGTGTTGAATCAAATGGAAAGTGTAGTTGTTGGTGCTGGCACTGTTCATGGTAAAGAAATTAATCGCGATGATGATATAATGTATCTAAGAGGAAAATTCGAAAGGGTTCATGGATCTTCAGACTCAGAGTCATTTCATTTAATCGATCCTGAAGGAAGTATGGGGCAACAACAATTGAGCATTTTCTTTCTCCGCTCTCGTTCTAGCTGAGCTGATCGTGATGTGTGAATCAGCTTGAGCAACGTGCAATTTTTTGCTAATTTTTTTTTCCTCCTAGATTATGAGTTTTGTACTTTGGTGTTGCCATGCAACACCCCATGTGTTTTTCGAGCTGTGTTTTTTGGCATGGCTTTTTTTTTTATATCCCTTATAGGGATATTTAATTTGTCATGGGGTGTGTATGTTGCAATTACCAAAGATGAATATTTGTAAAAATGTAATTAATGGAGGACCATTTTAGTTTATATATTTTCCTTTTTATTTCATTAATATCGTGATTAATTTTTTTAATTGTTACACTAAATAGATGTCATAATTTACTCAAAATTTGGTGGGAATTAATACCCATTTGAATATTTAAGGACTTCAAGATTTACCTAAGTAATATAACTGTTCATAAATATAACAAGTTAAATAACATTGATCGAATAAAATTCTTTTACATCGTTATTAATGTATACAACAAGTTAAATCCAAAAGCAAAAAAACGAATTCTTATTGGAACAGTGGAAGTTCATGAACGCAGTGTAAAGCTTGCTAGTTGTTTTTTGGCTAAACGTGTCCCAATAAATTTTTGATTTTAGAAAAGATAGGTAAACGTAAAATCAGAATTTTGAATTTATATGTTTTAAATTTACTTTCTTTAAAAAAATAAATTATTGGATTTTAGATAAATTATTTATACATATTACGTGAATTTTTAGCATAAACATAAGATATGGACTAGCGTTCTGAACTCGTAAATATAAGTAGTGTACATAAAAATTTTGGACTATCGAGTTAACTTGACCTATAATAACAAATAATTAATAATTTATTATAACATGATAAACTTAATTTTGGATTCTCAGGATAACCTGCAATCACTACAATATTTGCCACAACCTTTACCTTCGGATGAACGCCTTTGTGCGCACCGGATAAATCTCCCACGGTGTAAAATTTGATAGTGTAAAAATTTCTGATATTTTATATAGCCGACATCTTATTAATTTGCGATTATCATAAGAGAATAAAATCTGATTATGCTACGATTAATTAGTACATATTTGACATGGCAAAAATATGACCAACTACCAAATTATCCTAAGATCCTTTTTCATATCTACAGATCAAATATATTAATTAGTGATAGCTAATTAACTTATGTAGTTCCAATAGTAGAAATCATATGTGATAAACAAAAAAGAATATAGACATGTTATGACAACAAAATGAAGAATAAAGATCAATGTTTGGATGGCTGAAATATTTGAAACAATTAATTTAACTAATCTTGTAAAATTCGTAAAATTAATACATCTCATATGCATGGGTAATGTGTGTCACTTATGACACATTAATGGTAATAATAAATATGGATATTTATAATCAATAATAATACTCTATATAAATATCCTTAAAGACTTTAACGACTCTGAATGCAATGACATCAACTCAATTGTCGTTAAGTATTTTTGCTGCAATATAAATGAAAATCTATTGCCACTAAATGTCTCATTTGTGTAGTGATGGACGATGAGTCGTCAAAGAGAAAAACGACAAATTTTTAGATTGATAAGCTTTTGAATAAGGGGTACACGTGACATCTTAGACGTATCTCACATCAGAAAGCAAGAGAAAATTGAAGAATTTTTTAAAATTATACTACAAGTTCACATGGTATACACCATATACACTTTTGAACTTGATGATAGCATAGCACAAGGAACAGTTTCATAAGGTCGTTCACTTTGGGCTTGGGTCGTGACAGTCTAATAGATATAATGTAAAGAAGTTTTACATTATTTGGATTACTAATTTCACTTGTTATGAATCATTATGTATTTTATATATTTTAAGTGATCTGATAGTATACATATTTTTACGATTTTTCCACGAAAAAAAGAGAGTGAAAGGATGTGATATAATGTTGGGATAGTGCTTCTCTGATTTGTTTTTTGTATTTTTATTTTTATGAGCTGTTTTGATTCCTTTTGTCGTTAAAATAAAAATAAAAAGCAAAAAAAAAAAAGAGTAAAAAGTTAGATTTGTCATATAGGAAGAGGGATGCATATGCTCATATATATTCAATCATTTTGGTCAATAATTTCCTCTTTTTTTCATTGTTTAATTTGCTTTTTTCCCTTCCTTTAATTAAATCTTTTAATAGTATATATATTAACTGGTTAATAGACATAACACGTACGATCATTTCTCTATTTAGTTAGGTGAATAAAAGAATATTAGTATATAATTGGGAGAATAAAATTGAGGCTACAAATTAAAGAAGGAAAAGTTAGTTGAAAAGATCAAGATATTGTATTATAGTTCTATTGGTTAAATATTTAGAATATATTTTGTTTTAAATATTTAAGATGGTACCTTTTTTTTTCTCCTAAATTATCTTGAAAAAATGACAAGAATTACTCGAGAAAAGTTATTTTATGTTATATATCTATAATTAAGTGCACAATAAACTCAGTGGATAATGAATTCACCTCTCTACCCTTTTCCACTTAAAAATAACAAGCTTTTAATTCTCCACATGCTAGATTTAAACTCGCGATGTATGTTCTCTTGCGTTTGAATGCATTTAGCTGTCATGTTATGTGTTGTGCTCTTATATCTTAATCAAATTCTTTGGGGCGAACAAAGACAAGATTATTGAGTAGAGCCCAATGCAAATATATACTTGTCAACATTTTTTTAAAACTTGAATAACGTAACAGGACTAACTTGCACACACCTCGATTGATCCCTGTCCTTCAAGAAATTGTTGTAGTCTTGTAGCTTTTATATATAATGTCAAGTCATCTAGGTGCATGTAACACATGAAAGATTAAAAGGTGAACAATATATTTCTCATATTTTTGGCAAATGAATACAACAACATATCTAGTGTATAGTGCTCTGGACGTTGAAAGAATTTACGATATTTTTTCTCATAAATATTTGGCGAATCAATGAACATTCTTATCGAGTTTTACAATATCATATCGCGTTGTGTGTGTGCGCGCTCACCTCCATATTTGAAAAAATAGTTGGAGCTGAAGGTAGACTATATCCCGCGAAGAATAGTTGTTTCTCAATTCCATCATTCATACCGCTGGATTCAAAAGACTTCTTTGGTTCTTCTAATGCATAAAGCTCCAAATGCATGCCAATCCAAGCAACAATACAACTCTAGATATCATCTTCCTTGGTGAAGTACCTGCATACATACCTTCTCGAACAAGTAAAAACGGAGAAATTACAAAGATAAAAGGCACTAATCTTCTTAATAACCCGAAAACGCCTCTTGTAATCCTAGTTGTATATGCTTATGCAGGGGCGGAGCTTTGGTCAAAATCCTGTATTTGTGTTTAAAAATCCATTTTAAGACTTATAAATAATTTATCCAAAATCCAATAAGCCGTGTTTTCTAGCATCTCTAGAACTTATAAACGCAAAATCCTAGCTCTGCCTCTATGCTTAACTTACACATTGAGAAGTAGATGTTTTCGATTAGGCTGAGCCATTGAGGCAAGTAAGGTTAGTTTTATACCTGGTTGCAGTTGAAGATAATTGTTCCGAAAACTCCACTCGAAATCCCAGTGCTTTTTTTCGCACTTTAGTGTCCAGTAAGACCATCCAAAAGAGGCTGCATTGTATACATCTAACTGAACTCTTCCGAAATCCTGGTAATCTGCTAACGAGCCATTAGTCACGTTCCATTCGTTCACCCACTCACCTGAAATCGGTTAAATTCATGTCAAGATATCACAATTCTGAAATGTGGCAGTTGAAAATTGGTTCTAGTTCACTAAACCAAAGGTGTTGCGAAAGGAAAGAAAGGATATATTACCAACAAACACCAATGGTCCGTTGGCGCTATTCAAAGCCTGTATTTGAGATTGTCTGTTTTTGTATAGAAATTGAATGTTCTCCGACGAGGTCAGTTTATCAAAGTATCTGTCAAAGAGATTGTAGTAGTGCAAATCAACTACTGTGTTTGATGAGCCTATGTTAGCTTGATAAAGTTCAAATGGATCTGCATTTCCGATTCTTTGGCAAAATATCACATAAGCTGTTGAAGAATATTTTCGAACAATTTGGTATCCCTGTTTATAAAAAGGCACCAGAATATCCAGTGAGACATCTGCAGCAGATGGCTCGTTTAGAAGCTCGATTCCCAGCAAGGCAGGATGCACAGCATACCTATGAATGTTCATGAGTTATAATACATTTAAAGAAAATATTGAAAGAGAATGGTGAGTGTTATGAACGCAAATGAGATGAGGATACTTAGATAGATGTGTGAGCACACTACGAGAGATATGAAGATATATGAGGCAAGGCGGGAGTAGCCTCAGTGGTGGACAAGATGAGGGAAAATTCAAGCAAAATCTTGGCAATGATTAATGCTCATGGCAAAGCATGGTTGATAGATTCGTGAAGAATTCGTTAAAATCTACCTGGAAGCTAAGAACTCTATAGCATCCAATGTTTGCGCGATGTGTTCTGGAGATGTCTGCCAGTTTACTGTACCATCTCTACTGGCACTATGTTCCATCCCATTTTGGGAACCTGGGGCAGCGTGAAGGTCGATTATGCACTTAATGTTATAAGCTCTGCGAATAGAAAGAGATCAAATGGCTGAAAGAAGGGAAGAAATCGTAGAAGAGTATAATGAAATAGCAGAAATCAAGACCTACTGCGCCCACGAGAATGCATTATCAAGAGCTTCTAAGCTTCCACCAATAAAAGGAGCTGGAGGATTAGAATCGGAAGCTATCCACCAGCCAACAGGAATCCTAACAGTATTTATTCCGTGTCTGTACAAGAAATCGAAATCATCTACAGTGATGAAACTATTCCTATGCTTCTGCAACATACAAAAAAGGAGAGAAATACAATGAACATGCGTCTCACTTACATCCAATAAATAAGTGAACTGAAAGCAATAAACGTGATCAATTTACCTTAAGAACGTCTTTTGCCTTGTTATGCCCATATCCATTAGCAAGCTGGTAATCCCCTTGTAACTTTGCCACAAACGTCATCTCAAATGTGGCTGGATTATCATCCCAACCTGGCGTCCCCGGAAAGTCTGCTGTGAGAACATTGTCATTTGACGCCTAAATGAATGAGGTAGAACACAATTACAGCAGTTCTAGTAGAACTCGTGATAGACATGAATGTCAGTATGGCAACATACTAAAGCTGGTGCACACGAATATATACTAGCTTAACAATATCTTAACCATCCATAGGACTACACCTCTAACAACAACAACAACAACATCCCCAGTGTAAATCCCACTAGGTGGAGTTTGGAGAGGGTAGAGTCTACGCAGACCTTAACCCTACCTCGTGGAGGTAGAGAGGTTTCAGAAAGACTCTCGGCTCAGGACTACACCTCCAAGGCTAGGATATTTCAAAAAGATTCCATAAAACCATAAAGTAAATGTTACTAGCACTTAAAGAAAGGGCTGCAGAAAGCTGAAAAGAATATTTGCAGCACACTGCAAAAAAATGATTTTGTAACCAGTACAATGAAGGCCATACACTGGTTCTTAGGGAAATCTCGTGCAGGATGAAATTTATCAACACCTCCAAGATGATCGGACTAGAAAAAGTGGATGAGCCTTATTCGTCATCAAGCGCAACAAAATAATATCATAGCTCTTACAACCTAGTGCATAAACAAGATTATTCCATGATTGCAATCCTTCTATGTAAATAGAGTTGATGGTAAAAAAAAACCCTAAAGTATCCCGGTTTTTTGGTTTTTTGAGTTTCATATCTGAACTATTATGTGTGCGAGTTGTCTACCAGAACAATCACCAACTATTTATCGAAACACACCTCAACTATCCATCGTTCCCTTTTCCTACCTGAAATATAACCATCATTCAGGTGTGTTTTGGGAACAATTGATAGTTGAGGTGTGTTTTGATAAATGTTGGTAATAAGTCAGGTATGAAATTCGCACACCTGGTAATTTAGGTATGAAACTCAAAAAACCGAGGTACTTTAGGTATGTTTTTGACCCTTCACTCATGTACATATAATATAAACCATGAAAAAAGGCATAGAATTTTCTTATATCAAATATGCTTAATGTATCCCACAATAGAGACTGACAGAGAAATAAAGAAAAATGAAGTTGTGTTATCAAATGAATTCTGTAGTTTCAAGAAGTGCTTCCGCCAAATGCAAAGGTAAAAGAAATGAGAAATTACCTGTATATAAGTTCCACTTTTCAGTTTGATGTGAACTCTATTATTGAAGTTCCTTTCGAGATAGAATGTTTCTGAATCCGAGGGAGACTCTGCTGTTGCCATCACACTATCTCCATCACCACTGCATGTTAGAAATTGCCCTTCAGAAGTTCGAAACTGAAATACTGACTCAGAAATCCTCCACAACTGTTAAAAAATAAGCAAATTAATCAGGTACTATTCTCAAAATCAACAATTTCTAGCTTAAACTCTACTAAAAAGAATCTCTTCTCATCATATGAACTTTAAAGTATGAAGTTCCATAATTGATTCTTAGTGAACTTCAACGCGAGGTTCACTTGAAGCAACAATGTGTTGGTCTAGTCATTGCCTGAGCCACAAAGGACTATCCCTAAACTCCACTTGTGGGATTACACTGGTCGTGTTGTTATTGTTGTTGAAAAATCTAAATTCCGCTTCTTGCAAATACATTCCCTCCATTACAATATCGAAACTAATCGGGAATCTAATTGGAAAAGGATCAAATTCATATAGGAGGTCAAATATATGAACCAGAGAGCTGACATAAGGGAGCCAACATGAAGAAATTATGGGAGTTACAAAGGAACTCATATAGGTTTGAGGACGGGAATTAAACTCTATAAGATTGAATCTCCTGTTGTTCCACATTAGCTCAGTTGATAGAACGGTCAGTTGTTAATCGAGTGGACGTAGGTTCGAATCCTACTTGGAGAGATTTCATTGATTCTGAATTAGAGAATTTAAAAGTTTAAGTAACCACAAATTTAGGACATAAAAAGGATAGTATACAACAACATACACAGTGTAATCCCACAAGTGCGGTTCAGAGAGGGTAGAGTCTATGCAGACCTTACCCCTACCTCGTAGAGATAGAGAGGCTATTGTCAATAGACCCTCGGCTTAAAATAAAGCATATCCAAACATATATTAACAATAAACGATACGATCAACCGAGAGAGACTAAAAGATAGCAACAAAGAAATTTGACAATGCATTTCACCTTGAATGTTTCCCATTCTAATGGATTATCTCTATCCACAGACACATTCATTCCTCCACCATTCTGTGCAGAAATATACTTTTGCAATGTCACAGATTTTAATTGCACCTGTGTTCCATCCTGCATTGCCAAAAAGCTCAAAACTTTTCAATCTAAAATAACAATTCAACAAGATTCCGAAGGGTTGATTTCTCCGACAATCACTTAACTAATACTAGTTATTATCTCAGAAAGTCACATTTCTTCTCCACTCCAATTTTCTTCAAACAAAGAAAGTAACTTTACGAGATAATAACTATTAGTCCAGTGACCATATGAGAAATCAACTCGATTCTAAAGCATAAAGAGAACCAATACATACAAGCATATCTCCATTGGGTATATCATCAAAAAGGGAAGGCTTTATCCATCCCTCTACAACTAACCATCCACCCAAGTTCACAGCTCTTACTCTTGCATTTCCATGTAACCCCTCCACTAAAATTTCCAAAAAAAAATTCAAAAAAACCACATTATCTATTACAACAAAATACATTGTTAAGAATCTTGAAAAAACACAAAAACAAGAAAAAAGACCAAACCTGAATGCCCAACAGAGAAGATAAGCCAACAACAGAGCAAGAAGGCAGAGACCCATTTGGAGAAAAGTAGTTCCATGGAGAAAACAACCAAAAAATCACATCATACAAGCAAAATTATTAAACCCCAGAAAGTAAAGAAGCATTCTTGCAAAGAAAGAAGAGAAAAAAATGAGTAAAAAATACTCAAAACCCTTTAAAAATCCCTTCTTTTTGACTGAAAGAGAAGAATCTGAGTAATATCTTTCTTTTCACTCATTCAATTCCACAAAAAAAAGAACCTTTTTTGAAATTATAGATTTACTTGTATTTTAATTGGATCAGAAAATCTGTATTCAGATAAGGACAAAAGCAACAGTTTTTAAATAAAAATCACTGAAACAAATGTACAGCAGAATAAAAGAAACAATCTTTTTTTAACTACGGGTTAGTTTGAGCACACCTCGATTAAATTTGCCAATTACAACATGTTGAGGCAAATTTAAGATTCGTATTAAGTGAGAATTAATCTTAAGTTCATAAGTAAATAACTTAACCAAATCAAATGTCAAATTGATGTAAACATTCAAGTTGACAATCGATATTTTTAATTATATAAACTATAGTCGATGATCGAATCAAATTACAAAATGCTTGTCACGTTGTGTATTAAAAGTTAGATTGATTCAAAGTTTGATCTATAAAAATTGATCACTAAACTCTCAACATTAATCATATCAACATATATTGTATACATTTTTCTAAAAGAAATGGCAGAGTGTTCTGTTACCTTTCTGGTACAAAAACATGTTGTCACATGTAATAATTTTCAAGAAAAGGGATCATGGCTATGGAAAAAATCAAGATATTTCGTTGTAGACGCGCAAAATGATAATCTTTTAATGATGTTGGAATTTATCAAGACTCGTATAGTCATCATTTCTGAAGGACATACAACATTGCTTCAGAAATACGGTGTTTTTTGAAAGTAGTAATGAACATGAAGATGATCAAGTACGTCTTGTTGATGATGTTGAGCTTGAAAGTCGTATATCAGTACTACTAGATTTTGTTCTTTCTGATGATCCGGAATGGAAATTGCTTTGTGTTGTTGGAACAAGAGGTATAGGGAAAACCACCCTAGTCAAGAAAGTGTATGATGATGCTTCAGTGAAGAAGCATTTCAATTCTATAATGTGGATTGATATTTCGCGGTTTTCTACTTTTAAGGAGCATGATTACTCCAGTAGATGATCAATCTCGTCGAGCAATTGATACCATGGATGCTAACATGTTGGCAGAGTTACTTCAACAAGTCCTTGAGTCATCAAGGTACTTTATTGTACTTGTTGATATCCCAGATATTGTTACATGGAGGGCTCTCAAGTATGTATTTCCTGTCGAAAACTGTGGTAGCAGAGTAATCATCATATCGCGTTTTGATGATATGTGTCATACCATTTGTGAAGATATCCCGGATAGTGATGTTTACAGTTTAAACCCTTTGTCTGAATATGAATCTTGGGTACTTTTCAGGACGCGGATGTAACATCCTGCTCTACCTCTGTCTCAAATCGCCAAAGACATCGTAGAAAAATGCAATGGTTTACCACTGATGATTCTAGTCATTGCTGGTGCACTGAGTACTAAGAAAACAGATTCATGGGAGTTGTTTTATGACAGCCTTGTTGACAAGGTAGTTATAGCAAAGACGATTAAATTGAAAAGCAATAGCACAAGTTGCTGATAGCTATCTCAATGAACTTGCAAACATTTATGTCCTTAGAAGTGTTAAATCTTATCAATGCCACATTGATTGAATTAGGAAAGTTAACAAAGACTATGAAAGTTAGACATCGCGAAGGTGAGAAGAAAACATGGAAAAGATCTTTGTTCTTCAGTACTTGATAAGTCTTGAACAATTATCCTTTTAGGAAAAAGTTTTAATATTTTGAGTAGTCCTTTTCTTGTAGGAAAGGTTTTAGACTCTATAAATATAGGCTTGTTCCTTCTAACTTAATCAGTATTCACAATGTAGTCCTAGGGTTTTGAGAGTTTCGGTTATGGGGAGAATTTGTGAACCTTCGAGTGAATTGGTTGAGGTTATTTCTCTCTATAGTTTTTACTCTCATAATTATAGTAGATTGCTCATCTCCTTTGTGGATGTAGGTCAATTGACCGAACCACGTTAAATCTTTGTGTCTTTTGGTGTGTTTCTCGTTTGTCTTCTTACTCATGGTCTTTCGAGGTTTACTTTGCTAGCTTCCACATTACACTTGCTTATTTCGGTCCTAACAAGTGGTATCAAAGTCATGGTTTAATAATGAAACCAGGTTAGAGATGGGTGTTCATCTTGGCGGGTGTAGTTCTAGCTGCACCCTTTTTTGACAGTAATGAAGATTTTGTTGGAGAAATTGTTTCAGAGAGGTTCTCTGTGTCGAGACGTATATTTGATGGAGGAGATTATGGAGAAGAGATGCAAGATCCTAAAGGTACTTCAATTGCGCGATTGTATGTTAATGAAGGAGCTTCCCTTTGGGATTGAGCATTTGAGGAAGCTTCAATCTCTTGTGCTTCAAAATATTTCTGAAAACATGTTGATGACTGTGAAGCTTAAGGATAGTACAAGTGGAAATTACTGGAAAATCGCGCATATCCCTGACGTTAATGTAATTGATATGTACAAAAGTTGGAAGGTAGAAGAGGAGAGTAACTCGAAATTTTGATATTTGTATCGAAACTCAGGTACATATGAATGAAGTTTAGTCCTAAACTACCAAAAAAAGAACTCATTTTTTACAAAATGGAACATATGACTATAATGTATAAATTCAGGAGAAGATTTGGTTCTATCGAAGAGCTAACATTTCTTCTAGTGTTTTCACGAATTTCATGTCATCATGTCTTTATGCCCGGTAAAAGGTGTTATTACAAGTTTGCAATTCTATTTGGGCCTGAAAAAACTTGTTGGGGCCCAAGTCAAGTAACAAAATATATGGGTTTGAGTATACCCTTCCTACCAAGTCATGTTAGTCCAATAGCAAAGTCAGTCCAATATTAAATAGTTCCCTTCTTCATACACTTTTTTTTCTTTTTAGGTTTTTCATTCAGTGTTCGGTGTCCGATATTAGTATTGAAGTCTCACTAATCCGGCCTCCATTCGAGGAATAACACTCTCTACCAAGGACTTTTTCATACCCAAAGTTTGAACCTGAAGCATCTGGTTAAAGAAGGAGTAGTCTCATCAGTCTCATCCACTGCACCACATCATTTGATTGTTCTTTATGCACATTAGATCAAAGTTCATTTTAGAAATAGAACTACTAAAGCCACCGCTAAAATGGATTGAATTGATAAATGAGGTTAATTGAGCTTAAATATTGTAATCAAAATGGGTGAAACACTGATCATAGTCCAACTTGCTCAACTTTGACTAAGTTTTAATTTGTTTGTTCGTTTTCTTTAAATGATTTAACTTTTTTTAAGATTGGATGAATTGGACGGGTCATACATAAATCTATGGGGTCATTCGAATCATGATTTTTATGAGCTAAATTATTTTGCGCTCCTACGTCCAATACACAAAGGAAAGGGAGTTTTTCTTTTTGATTTTCTATTTAGTGTTTGACTCATTCGAATTCGCGACGGAAAGTCTTACTTTGAGATGTAAAGCACTCCTCACCAAAAATGATTTCATACTCAGGATTTGAACTTAATACATATGATTAAAAATGGAGAAATACATATCACGCCACCGTAAGCTAAAGGTGTTGATCTAACTGAATAATAAATCTTGTAGAGTCATGAGAAGAGGAAAATAAAAATCACATTTTATTAATAATAATCATACGCTTTATTTCTCTGGAAAAAATTATTTGAAAAATCTCCATTAGTAAGCTAGTTGACAAATATTCCAAGACAACTTGTTTGAAAAATAATTAACTAGACCATAGACAAATAACTAGACAATAATTTATCAAAATTTAAAATGAAGATACATTTCACCTCCTATCTCCTTTCTTTTTCAGACTCTCTAGACAAAACATTTGTGACAATTTTCATTAAAAAAATTTGTTTTATACGAAATTTTAGATTTTAGTAATCCATCAAATTTATTTAATCAAAATTTGATGTGACATCATCTTGTCAAATTATTGACTCGAAGCTAGAATTTCAACTTAATGAGTTATATATGTATTTTAGAACGATCGATCTCAAATGATAATTGGATTCTAAATTTTTTGTATCTACATATTTAATGAAATTCTCAACATAAATATGCTATTTAAGCAAAATTTACTGAGTTCACATCAAATTCATATTTAGACTTCTACCTCCGTCCCCGGCCCCGATAGTAACATGTACATACTATACAAGTCAAATTTATATTTCAAACCAATGTTCAATTTAATGATGTTGTAAAAATGAGAATTCATAGAGACTATATATATATATGTATATATACCAATGATTATGTGTCCTACTTAATAAAAAAAATCTAGTAAGAAGACAAATGCATTGTGATCATGAGATCATCAAACAAAAATGTTAAAGCAAGTAGAAAAAAGTACCTAGAAAAAAATTGATCTAATAGCTCATTTTATATTGAGAAAATTACTTGAAAGCTCCATTATAAATTCTATTAAGAATATTAATGTTGATTAAAATTCTTATACTGCAACTTGAAGACAAGTGGGGAGACACACTTGTACATAAAGCTAAACACAAACGATCAATCACTTGTAGTTGATAGGTTTTTTATGCATGCATTTACTCATTTTCTTTCAATTTCTATTGAGATAACTAAGCATTCATGTGTCCTTCGGAATGGCTCAGCTCAGTTGGTTTGGAGGGTGGTCATCTACATAGATAAACTGGAATCGATCCTTCTCAATGCCTTCTAAGTCAGATCGTATAAAGCTTGCTTAATGTAGTTTACATCCTGCGTATGGTTTACATGCTATTCACAGAGTACTCACTCGAATAGCAGAAGTTGTGACAAAAGTTATAACGATTGCGGGTTATCCTGAAATTTCAAAAAAAATAAAAATAAAAATCAAACATTCATGTTAATTAACATTACAACGACGTATCTAATATAATATTATAAATAGAACATAAGAAGGATAGAGTATACGATAACTTATCTCTACTTACAAACATAGAAAGGTTATTTTTGATTCACGTCTCTCCGTTCAAAGAGAGAATTTATGTTGATTAAAATTAAGGATGTAAAATACATTTAAATTTTTGTCACAACATATACTTTATAAGGAAAAGGACATATAAACATCCAAGTGGTTCAATTAGAGCAGGGGCCAGTACTTGAGGTGGCAATCTTATTCAATTTAACCGTTAATTTTAGAGACATCACCTCAGATTAATTATTTTCAATTTTACTGGGTCGGAGACTGGGTGGATAGATGCGAAATCATAATTTAAAATTTATAAATTTGTTTAGTTCTTTTAAATTTTTGAGGTCTAAAATAAGTTGTAAAAAAATATTAATTCGTACTACTTATGTCATTTGCTAGAGACATTTTGGAAGTCTCTTTAAAGGAACAATAATTAGAATTCTTAATGATAGTACGTAATTACTTAACGTAAGAAAGTCTTTGGGGAATAATCATCCTTTAATTATCAAGATTTAATTGGCATCAAATCTCTTAAACTATGATTAATTTTGATACATTCAAAGTTTTGCCAGTTAAGCTTGTTTTATTTTTTTTAATCTTCAAATTATTATTGTTTTTATTTAAAATGTTCATTAATAGTTCTATGTGGGACCATTAAGGGACACATCTCGTACGTTGTTTGGTTTTGTTTAATATTAATTAAGAAGGTTTACTAAACCCCTAATTAATAGTAGTAACTGGTTTAGTTAGTCAATTTTTGTTGTTAACCCCTTATTAATAACTAGTTAATCAATCTTGTTCTGGAACCAGCTAGGTACACAAGAGACAAAAGAGAGGTATTTTCCCTTTATCGCAAGGCAATTTTAGGCTTTTAAGTCAGCGAATGAATTATAAAATTGAAAAATCATAACAAATTGCTAAAATGTATGGGTGTAAATTCTCGTGTATCATGAGTTTGACTTGAATCCTAAATTCTTTTAGATCTAAAGCTACTTTTTTGGTAAGAAGATGATAATGCATGTCAAAACTATCTATTATTAATTCTTAAACTTAAATTAGAGGCTATAATTATCTCATAGTTAATATTTGTAACAACTCACAAAAATGGGGGGGGGGGGGGGGGAAT